AAAGAGGAAAAGCTTTACTAGTATACCAGGAAAAGTGTACGGAAAAGGGTTTTAAAAATTTAAAGGGAAATTAAGGAAGACAAATGTAGGAAATTTCGGATTTAGCAAGGGGGGTTTCAGAGTGGGTAGGGGGGTGTAATCAAGTGTTTTTTCATTGAAGCATATATTGGAACAGTAAATTTTGATAAAGGTAGGGGAATTTTTTTTGCATTTATGGGTTTAAAAAGGCATATGATAAAAGTTGGGTAGAGGAGCAATTTTTGGCAGATGTTGCAAGTATATGGAAAAGGGGGTAATTAAATTTAAAGCGTAAAGAGTTTTTATGAAATAGTGAGGCTCAGGTTTGGGGTGTAAAGAGAGGGGGACTAAAATTTTCCCCGGGAAAAGTAGGTCTTAGACAGGGGGTGTAATGTCACCATGGTTGTTTTTAAAATATTTAAAGATGGGGTTGTTAAGGGAAATTTAAAAGCAAGGGGGTTTTTGGGGGGGGGTGGGATTAAAAATTTTGGGGGAAACAAATTCAAAATTGGGGAAATTTACCAGTTTAAATTTTGTGATGATACGTGCTTATGGGAGATTCTAAAAAAAATTGCAAAGTTAGTGGATGAGTTTGGAAAAGTGTGGGAAAGGTAAAAGTTAAAGTGGGAAAATAAAAAAGTAAAAGGGAAAGAGGGGGGTCAAATGAATTTTGATAAAAAAAAATTGGATATCAAATTGGGGATAGGGGTTTTGGAAAAAAGTGAATGTTTTCAGATACTTGGGAAATTTGGGCGTGGGCCGGGGGATGGATTTATAAGGAAAAGAGGTTAATCATAGAAAATTTTTTGAGGGAAAAAAAGGGAAGTGGTGCGTTTAGGTATTGGGATCAAAAAAAAGTTATCAATTGGGGGCCCAAAAAGGGGAAAGTATGAAAATATAGTATACCCCAAAACTCCCTTTTATGGGTGTGAAGCTTGGGGGGTAAATGCAGGCCCGCGAGGAGACGGTTGGGGGCATGGAGATGTCCTTTTTAAGGGCCAAAGTGGGTGGGAAATATTATGCAAAAAATTCGGAAATTTTGGGAAAATTTGGGGAAGTGTGGATTAATAAAATTAAATTTGTCAAGGGGAGAAAGAGGGGTTGTTGAGGGGGTTTGGTCATTTTTGAAAAGAATGGATTTAAAATAGAATGAATGGGAAAACATTAAATCAAAAGGGGAAGGAAGGCGGGGAGGGGTTTGTCCCCGAAAGGGTTGGAAGGGGGGGGTAAAGGGGGGTTTTTGTGGGAAAAGGGGGTTGGGCTTTCCCCCAACAAGCGGCGGGCGTGTTTTGATAGGAGTGAAAGGAGACGAAAAGGTACTTTTGGGCCCCGACGATCCCGTTGAGGGGTGAGCAGGGTAATATTTAGTGAAGGGATTCAGGGAAACCGGTTATTTTTTAAAATATTCGGACTTGAGTCCCGAAATGGGAATACAAATGGCCCGCACTTTAAAGGAGGGGGTTTGGGGTATTGGCAGTTTTGGGGGGATTTTGTTGTGTAACTTTATATGTGTATCTTTTAGACTGTTGTATTCTAGCACCTCTGCAAAAAAAAAAAAAAAAAATTGGGAAAAAAAAATTTTGGGGAAAAATTTGTGAAAGTGGTTTTTAAAGAAGGGGAAAGTATTTTTTTTCGGGATTTTTTTTTTTTTTTGGGTCACCCTGCCTCGGTGGGAGCCGGGCCCACTTTTTTAAAAAAAAAAAAAAATATAAAATAATAATATAAAATAAAAATATATTTTATATACTTTAAATATAAAATAATAAAACATAATAAATATAAATATACATAATAATATATATAAAAAAACAGATATTTTATATATATAAAAATAAATATATATATTTAAAATTATAAATTATAAAACATTAAAAATATATAAATTATATATATATATATTATAACAAAAATATATATAATTTAAAATATATTTTATATATAAATTAAAAATATACATAAATATATAAATACACAAATAATATATAAAACCCTAAAAACTAATATATATATATTATATATATATATAAATATTATATATATATAAAATAAATATATATATAAATATAAAATATACACATAATATATAAATATATACAATATTATAAAAATATATATATATATATATATATAATATATATATAAATAAAATATATAAAAAAATTTTATATTATTTTAAATAAATTTTTATATATATAAAAAATAAATTAAATTTTATAAATATATATATAATATATATATCAAAATAAATATAAATATAATTCACTACAAAATTCCCAAAGGGTTCCATGCGTACGAAAAAAAAGAAAATATGGAAAGAAACATTACATTAAATTTCGATTTCGCGGGCGAAATGGGAAAACACAGAATGTGCTTTATTATTCCAGGCGCCTAACTTTATCCGAAGCTCTCAATTTGGGAAAATTAAAATCATACGCAGCTCTCCCAAAGTTCAAAACTGCTTTTCCCCTGTAACAAACTTTTAAAACCACTATCTAATTTAATTTTTCGTATTTTAAACGCAATGTTTTTTTTTTTGTGTATTTTCATTTATCACACCAAAAAAAAGTCGACTGTATGTAAGAAAGAGGTACATACAGACCCTGAAGTTTCAAAACCCTTTAAAACTTTTCCCTTTTACCCGGATTAATACGGCCGGGGAGGGGAAAAACATGAATCAAATAAAGCGTTTTCTAAAGTTTTTTGGGGGTTTGGGGCAAGAGCTTTGAACTGACTTCTTAAAAAAAACCTAGGTGGGGTGCCAAATAGGCAAGTCAGTTACGATTTTACGCGTTAACCCATGTCTCTGGGGAAAACCCTATTTAAAAGGGCAAAGTAGCTTAATTCTCTCTTCTCCCAGCAAATATTACGACAAAATAACATGGCAAACATAACAAGTAAAGCTTTTTTTAAAAAAATTACTTTGAAACGTCATCTCCTTTAAAAAACTTTAAAAGAAGGAACGACCCTATCCAGCAAAAAAGCCCCCAAAAATCAAAAGGCCCTGCTGGGGGAGAAAGGGAAATCACAATAAATTTTGGTATATGTCAGCGCCACTGCGGCAGCCACAGCCCCTGCCCGCAGCAAAAAATTTTTCGATGAAGAAAAAATATACAAACGAATTTTTTGGGGTGCTTTCCCCCATTTCCTCCACACAAAATTTCCCCTTATTGTTCAGAATATTTTTGCTTTATAAAAAAATTTAAAAAAGTTAAAAATTATATAAGAAAAGCAATAATATGCAGATAGGGTCAACTCAGGATGGGTCAAACCATTCTATATTCAATTCCCCAGAGGGGTATGACCCTTTTAAAAGTTTTGGGGATTTTCCAAGAATTTTAACAATACGACCTACATGATCATAAACATGTTTAAAAAGTCCTCAACATTATTTTTAACCAATAACTCAGCTATAATAAAAATAATGATTAATCGTCCCCAAAAAAAGATCTAGGATCTATAATTATGACCTATAACGCATATAATCAAATTAAACCCTCCATGATAAATTTCCAAATAAAGACTAAAATAACTAAATAAACTAAAAAAAAACAAATTTAGTTAATTTTTTAACATCAGTTTTTACTCCCCGATTTTTCGTGACGGCTTTAATATGCTTTTTTTCCCGGTTTTTATAGTTTTTAAACATGGGTACCGGTTTCCTTGCTGAACACTAGACCAAATTTGCTGTCCCGAGCCCCCAGAATTTTTAAACGCCATTACAACCCACTGGCCCGTTATTTACAGTTTAGGTTTTTAATTTACGGTTTTCCCTTTGAAAAATTCTAACCTTCGTTCCGGTAATATTTCTGATCTCTACTGTTAACAGGTGAAGAGTTTTGGGTTCCGGATGTTGACAGTGTTCTCTAATTGTAATTAGGGCAACCCTCATTATAATTTTCATTGTTTTAATTTATAATTGGGAATTTGCTAAGTCATTATGATTTAATATAATTACTTAAGACCTTTTTAAAATTAGCACAACTGTGCAGTATCTATAATTTCATAACCTATAACTGTATTTATAAAATGTAAAGTTTGTATAGTGCTAAAATTAGTATATAAGATTATTTTAAGATTCCATTGGGCACCTAGTTACAATTCCATTAGGCACCTAGTTACAGTCTATTAATCTCGGTAGAGTTATAGTTAGGAGTCTTAGTGTCAATGAAGTTAATTTGTCTGCCTCACTCCCCGTGAGGTCGACAGGTCGAGACCAGTACAATTAATTCCTCAAGTACAATTAATTCCTCCCTCAGTGTTAATTTCACGATTGTGTGAACTATCATTTTAAAACAGTAATTTTTTCTTTTAATGAAACGGGAAAAGGAAAAATTAAATTTAAGGAATGAGAATTAGAGGAAACGGATAAGTTACCGGTTTACCAGTTGTGATATCGAGAACTGCGACCGGAAACTGTTAGATACGATGACAAATTACGTGGCCACATAGGAACAAAGCTTTTTAGTTAATGAATATGAATATAATGATACTGATGCTGACAATACATTTAGTAATGAAATTAATGATGATGATAATAGATGACATTGGCTGCCTATGACAATGCGGACATAAAAAATTCAGAATGATTACATCTAATTTGAAAGAGTGGAAGGCAGCTCCTCATAAAAAAAAGTAACATACTAGAATTACGTATTAAACAATAACAACTCAACTTTAAAGCTATAAAACCTATAAAAACTATTTTTAAGCGGTCACGAAAAATCGAGAATACAACTACTGTTATATTGCTATTAATAATAATAATAATTTATTATTCACTGTATAAATTTTACCATTTTGCGTTGGTAAGCAGGCAGACGATGTGTTATAATTTATTTTATAAAATTTCTGAAAAACAATGGATTTTAATCTAAGCCAAGTGAACTGTACATCGCTAGATAAGATTGCAGTTGTCGATTCATATATAACACCTACCTTCGCTTCTTAATTATTACCGACAGATTTTACCGACTTCGTTCAAAAGGGCGTGTACTCACCGACTGTGGTCTCCCCTCACGACTAACGAACGCTCACACACCATTCCTTGTTTCATGGTTAAGGAAGGGACGGATTAGGAGGTAGGTTGGTTGCCTAACAGCAGCCAGCACCTTAGCCCATCTCAGGAATGATGTACCTGGTATCTGGAGAACCTGACTTACCTGGTGAGAGTATTATTTTATTGTTGTCTCTCTTGTGGTGGTGGTAGGCAGGACCTAAACCTTCTCCAGGTAAGCAGCAGATAATCTCACCCACACACATACTGAACCCCAACACAAACCAGTTCAAGGACCCACTTACTACACCACGACACCTTCACTTACCTGAAAGAAAGGAAGATATGTTTTAGCATATTGAAAAATAGTTTAAAATAAGAAAATATATAGGCATAAAAGTAGTCAAATATGCATAATGCATATGAAATGTTTTCTGCAACTATGGCGAAAAAACATTAATTACAAAAATACACAAAATGCTAAAAAAAACTACAGTAAAAATTATTTTACATCAGCAACTATCCATAAATGTAACAAAGAGAAGGTGACATAAGCGCACGATGAACAAATCTCCAATTTTTTCCCTCTTCGGCCACAGAAAAAAAAATGTTTCCTGCCACCGGTCGTAATCATATGATGGTGAGGTGATCTGCGGGATGCGATCAAAGCTGACTCTATGGCAGTGATAAAATGCAATCACTGTTGTTGCATTGCGGTGCTGGACAACGTGGTGTCTACAAACAAAATTCCAGGGTGTGGCAACAGTTTGCTACGTGGCTGGTGACCAAAGCAGCAGCAGCTGCAGCCATGGCTCGGACTTCAGCAACAGCAGCTGCAGGCATGGCTGGGGGAGGGAGGCAACAGCTGCTTGCTTGCTCTCTCTCTCTCTCTCTGGCTGCTGGCCAGTTCTACCAAAACAATGTACATTACTCACCTTCCGTCACCCACCCATACACATGCACACACGATGTGAAGCTATAAAAAAAGAATGCGAAGGGAGAGGACTGAAACTGCATCGTGGGAAGACTAAAATAGGTTGCTAGGGTGGCCAAAAAAGTAACTGCCGTAGTTCAGTCCGAACGAAGGCAAGGTCATGCAATTCGAGGGGGGAGAATTAAGACAGGAGGCGGAATGTACACTACATGCAGGGAAATAACAATTATAGAGAAAAAAATTATCTGACCGAACATAATGACAGATCACATAAACCGTATAATTTCGGTAGCCTATACGAAACTGCCAAATCTCAGACTACCCTCAAGATGGGCACGCGTCCCAGCTCTGAGGAGCTGGATGAGATTTTCGCATTATTATCAGTGACAAACACGTAACAATATGTACTAGACATGTATCTCGTGTACACCTCAAGTACTGTATAAGCAATCTTTATATCAACAATGTATTTTTTAAGTCTTTTGTACCATATTATGTAATAAAATATACCTATTGGTACAACAATTAAAAGATGGGGTGGTAGGGAAAGTGGAATATTTTAAATGGCTTCAGGAAGAAATCCAATATTCTTCCTTGAAGCCTCTTTATCCACTTCTCAGAGGCTATTGGTCCCACAATTTGCACCAGAAGTGGACTCCATCATATATATATATATATATATATATAATATATATATATATATATATATATATATATATATATATATATATATATATATAATGTGCTGAATAAGTAAAACCTGCGATTTTGGCTTAAATAACAACGCATTTCTTGCCGAATGGGGCAAGCGAAAATTTGTGCGCAATAATTTCGCAAAAATCATTCTGAATAACGAAAAAATATATTTCATTGTGTTCGTTTATTATTAAATTATAGTAAACTTATATAAAATTTAATTAGTTGGATTAGGCTAAATTAAACTGCGCTTGTTATAACAAGGTTAGGTAAGTTTTCTAAGGTTCTTTTGGTACAAAATCATTAATTTTTATATTAACATTAATGAAAAAATATGCTTCTATAAATGCATAAGAATTTTTTTAGAAAGGACTTAATTTTAAATGAGTTCTTGCTAATTGACCAATTTTACCTATTCGGCACGACACACCAATACAGCTGTGTATACACAGCTGTATATGTAGGTATGCTACGTTTAAGAGACCAGAAGCCTGAGTATAAATCAGCAAACTTACACTTTCTCAAAGACATTAATGTTTCTCATTATAATCACAAATTTGAATGAAGAATAGAAAGTGTAATACCTTTGATATACCTTTGAAGAGTTTCGAGAGTTTATCTACTCTCTGGGCCCCGCTCATCTGGTGCTTGCCTGGTCAACCAGGCTGTTGCTGCTGGAGTCCCGCTGCCCCACATATCCATCACAGCCTGGTTGATCTGGCACCTGGTGAAGATACTTGTCCAGTTTCCTCTAGAAGGCTTCTACACTTGCCATTTTTTTTTACACAAAAGTTAACTATTTTTCGAAGACAGATTTCTTATCATAATTTTTTTCATCATACATCAGTTTAGATTTTGATTATTAAGGCAATATCACAGCCATTTAAAAGAATAACATCTTTGAAAGCATTCTTTAGTCTCTCTCTCTCTCTCTCTCTCTCTCTCTAAATGGAAAACTATGAGTGAGAAACTTAGTGTCAAGCCCACTTGTGTGAGAGGCGGAGACAGTAGACACAACTTGGGCAGGAGACCATTGCACTTGCCATTACTAATTACAGATATTTCTTCCAGTAAGTAACGAGACGCTGTAACTAAGGCGAGATATTTCCCAGGGGCAAGAAATGATGCTATTCATTAGCTTCTGGCATACATTACTTACAAGCTGCAGCACCCTGTCTTCAAGAAAAAGCATTAAACCCGTTGGAGCTGCCCATTTTCATAATTGCGAAACATCTTCATTCTTAAGAAAACGTTGGGTTTCTCCTCCATGACGTGAGAATATCGTTACATAAGCATAAGCGAGGCGCAGTATGTATTGGCCCTGGTGAGCGCTGCCAACACTGTCAAATAATATATATCGAATAAACTACAATTTTCAGGTTATCGTTATTACTGAGCTGATTTTTATATTTTTCACATATAGCGATAGTTGGAAACCGTTATAAGTCTCGGAAGGTTAAAAATGCAATACAAAGATGATTTATATACAACCACTAACATTCAAATAAGAAGCAAGGTGTAAGAATGCTTTAAAATTATGAATCTGATAATAAGCAGCGTTCGGAAACAACATATAACTTTTATAATACTTTCTAAATTTTCCTGATATCGTGGCACATTTTATTTGCATATTATTTCAACATGAATTAAAAGCATTTAAATACTCTTTCCATAAAAGGGATCTTTCTTACCAGTACTCTCTAAAAAATAATAATATATAACAAGACGTTCCTAAGTATAAACGGCATTAATCTACCAAATTGGCTTTCAAAAGAGAAAACATCTACAAAGTTTGTTATCAGCCAGGGAAACATCTCGACAATTCAACAGAGGCTGGAAAATTCTACAAAGTTGGACACCAAAAATGCGGACATGAAGAAAGTGGCATAACTATGAAGGACACAGACGCGGGGTGAGAGGGAGAGGTGTGGTTGAGAGATGAGGGGGGAGGAGAGGTTGGAAAGACGGGTGGGGTCGGCAGCACTTGAGGCGGGGAAGGTGCAGGAGCAGGTTGGTGGGTGTTTGGGAGGTAAGTGCTGATGGAGGAGGATGCAAAAAAAAAAAAAAGTAGATTGGCAGGTGGGTTGGTGCGCACTGAGTGCGGATGCAAGAGAACAGAAAGGTTAGTAGGTGGGCGGGTGAATGGTATCGGCTGTGTTAGAAAAAAATAGACGAAAAGGGAAATATCCTCACCCTTTATGCAGAAAGAGTTGCTGTGTTCTTATTCAAGTAAGCACCCTCTGTGGTGAGTGGCACTCCTCCCGGAGAAGAAGCCGCTACCCCTAAACACAAACCACTCAAACCTCACCACAACCTGAAGGTGACAGTGTCGTAAGAGTGTTTGGATACGGAAAACAGGAGGCAAACTGGAAAAGTGAAGACAGAGCACTACCTCCCAGCTCTCACAGATGCACTAAGACTCGCCACTGGATCTCAGTACATCAACTTAATACAAAAATAACATGCTTCCGTTTCCTCGTTTTAGTATCGTGTTGGGGGGTCCAACAAGTCGGCCACTGTGGAAGAGAGGTACACTTCTTGAGACATTTCGCTGTGTAGACCTTTATCAAGTCAGCTGATAGAGCTCTAGAGCGAATAGTTATTCCAGCAAAAGCTTGACCTTCACCAAGAGTGACTCACGTTAGTGGCAGCTTCAAACCAGTAATCTACTGCGACCAGAGTGAATTCAATAATCGTTTATGTGTACAAGAATCAAGGTTAGAAGTGATCAAGGTCCCAGGACCGAAACGTTTTCTAATAAATATGTTATAGTGTTTGCTTACGTGTCTTTCTAAACCAAGAATCAATCAAAACATACCAACTGACCTTTCTTGAATCTAGAATTCCTGTCACCCGACTGAGCGAGAGAATATAGAAACATTTTATGTGAAGCATTCACCTCGTGTGGATTACTCAGCCTCCGGACCAGCCTATACTCATTTTAATACGTCAATTTCCTAATGTTCCCTGTAAATTTACAAATATTTTGTTTATTTTATCTGGGTTAAACTTGGTTACATAAACCTAAAAGGAAAAAAAATTCGCTCAAAGATGCTACAACGAAGCAGCACAACACTACAACGTTGCATCATGACCTCAAAACGTAGCGCCCCAAAGTAGCATGGGAATGTTTCACTATAAGGTGGCATAAAAATGTTGCACCCCAAATAACGAGAATGTAGCAGCCACAAAGTAACAAAGTAGCACCCCAAATAACGGAGAGGCAAGCAGCGTGCATTAGGACACGGCACATTCCCTGTCAGATGTTTACTCTGCGAGAAAATCAATACATGAATGGTCTCTTTTGTTAAAAGTTCGTACGACTGTCTGCACCTTCTCCGCCTTTCACTAAAATTAACCTTGTTAAGTCATGGTCCTTTCTCTCGCCAATGTCATTTTTTTCATACTTAAAGTAAAAAACTGCTAAACACATGGTAAAAAATACATTACCTTGACAAATCATGCCAACCTACGCACAAATGCGCGTTCTGCATGTAGGAAATGATGCATGAAATACTTTTAATTTAACTGTTGGAACAAATTTCCCACTCTTGGTCCTCCAGAACTCAAGCTTCACAATATCCAACAATGACTTGTAATCTATGGCCTACTCCAGCCCAATGGAAATAAGTCACTTTGTCTTATGTTGGAGTTATCCTAAGTAATTTACACTATGTATGATAAGTGTACTTATGTGT